CAGAAGAGGTACACTTGTTAAAAAAGGTTGAAAACCCCTGAACTATGCGACTACATAGTTAAGCATCTCATTTAGACACAACCTGTGTACTGTAAGGTAGAGGCCGAAACTAATTACCTTCCACTTAAATTAAAAACCAAACTCAAATACAGTATTTTCCAAATCACAGAATCATAGAAAATTAGAGTTAGAAGGTATCTCAGGAGGTCATGTAGTCCAACCCCCTGTTCAAACAGGACCATCCCCAACTTTATCATCCTACCCAAGGCTTTTTTCTACCTAAGTCTTAAAAAAAGCCTCTAAGGATAGAAATGTCACAACATCTCTGAGTAGCCTGTTCCAGTGCTTTACTACCCTCCTGGTAAGAATTTTTTTCTGAATACAGGCAGTCTTCAAACTTATGACACAATTGGTTCCTGAAAACCACATCTTAAGTTGAAACGTAAGTCAGAATCAATTTTCCCACAGGAAACAATGTTATAAATGGGGAATTTGTTCCTGAACCAAAGCCCTATACCTTATTTTCACCAAAAATAACCCAGAATTTTGTACTCAATCAATTATAGATGCGTAATATAGCTACATTAATGTATTTATATTGTAAATAGCAATCATATTGATTTGGAAGGACTTCTTTGAGGTGACTTTGCTGGACGTTTTGAAGGACTCTTGGTCAGAGTTGTAGGAAACCCCCCAGGTTTTTCTTTTTTTAAAACTTAAAAATACATTTCCTCCCCTTCCCCAACCATTTCTGTCTTTCCCTCTGCCCTCTCTACCCCTTATAAGTGATTACAAGTAGTACTAGGTAAACTAAGATAAGTTCTTATACTCCCTTATAGCAACAAGCCCCTTTTATATTGTAAATAGTGTTCTATTATGTTTGTGTTGATTTTTGCTGTTTTATATTGAATTTATATGTGAATTTGAATTTAAGCCTGTGTCTGTAAAGTAATGTCAAGTAATGTCAAGTTTCCATTTTGCATGTCAAGCCTCCATCTCCTGTCCTCTGCCCAGGTATAACCTATTGTATAGTATGTTGTAACTGTGACTCATGCCTAACCAGTCTCCTATAAATTGGTTCCTGGATGAATGGGAATGAATGAAGGTGCTTGAGGTACAATGGTAGTAGGCCTCTACTGAATGATCAACTCAACGACTGGACCATCAACTCAACAACTGGACCATTGCCTTGCATTGACTCACCCAGGAATCGCAGACCTCACCCAGGACCAGAGACAAAACCAAGCATTTGAGATAAAGACCCTACAGGACCCCAACATTTGGAAGACAAAGACCCTACAGAAACCAGCAACCCCAGCATTGTGTCCCATCAGACAATGAGGACACCTGGATCTGCACGTATGCATCTGAGCAGGACTGTCTTTGCCTGGACATGTCCTTCCCACACAGGTCAGCCACCCCTATAAAAGTGGTGGCAGAGTGCGATCTCTTTGGGATGCCCTATCTATCTGGGCCAGCATTACGCCACACCACCTATCCACCCAGAGGCCCTGCCAACAACCCCCCTCTAAACAACACCTTGGTAGAGAAGACCCCAACTGGCCATCGAGAACCAACTCTCAGCCTGGGATAGGTGGCTATCAGTCACCTTCTTCCCCCAAGCAAGGGACCTGAACTCTGCCTCTGCATATCTGGACCTCAAATCCCTCCATTAAGCCTTTCCTGTCCTGCTACCATTGTGTGTGTGTGTGTGTGTGTGTGTGTGTGTGTGTGTGTGTGTGTGTGTGTGTTTGTGAGTGTGTGTGGGAACCAATAGCTTTGTGGGGTTGTGTAGTGTGTTGCCTGTTCAATAAAACTGTTATTTTGGAACCCTGAATAGGGTTTTTGTCTTACTGACCTCCTGGCCCTGCTCCAATCTCTGCTCTCTGCCCCTGTGATCTTTGTTCTGTCTGTCTGTCTCTCTCTCTCTTTCTCTCTCTCTGTCATCTCAGCTCCCTCTCTGCCACCTCCAAAACCCTGGCTTTTTCCTTCGCTTCCACCCCAGCACCAGGTGACCCCGAGTAATCCCAGGGCATCAAGTGATCCTAAGTAACCCTGGGGCACTTTGACCCCGAGTAACCCTGGCACCTTGACCCCAAGTAACACCAGCACCATGACCCTGAGTAACACCGAGCCCAAGTTACCCCAAATGCTCCCTAGTGTTAACACACAGTCACGGAAGTGTGTGTTTGTGTATTTGTGTATGTGCATGTTTGTATGAACCCATAGAGTGTTTGTGTAGTTTGTGTGTATATATATAATTTTGTACCATGCCCTCCTGTCTAACAGCGCAATATTGAGATCCTGTGTTGATCTGGTGCATATCAAGTCGACAAAGTCTTCTCAGGAGTCTTGGCTGCAGGTTTTTCTGGAGTCTTGTTTGCTTTCTTAAAGAAAGTGCCCATGGAAGTTTGGACAGATGTTTTCCAGGGAGATGGGCAGTGCAGTGAACTTGTTCACTGATGTGGCATGGTGTCGGATCAAGAGTTGTAAAGTCGAAACTGACATTAGAAAGTTGAAGCAGGTTGTCAATTTATAAACATTGTAAGTGTGAAACGTTGTAACTCGAAATGTTGTAAGTCGAGGACTGCCTGTATATAACTTAAAAATTCCCTTCCTGCACCTTGATATCATTGCTCCTTGTTCTGTTATCTGCTACCACTGATATAACAGAACAAGGAGCAATGTTTTCAATCTCCCTTTGTCTAACAAAGGAGCAAATATTTCTATGACACTGGTCCACAAGTGTTTAGTCAAGTTTCGAATTTTTCCCAGGTTCTGAAAAACTTGGGAAACTGCTTTGTCCGTGTTTTCTGAGAGTCATCTTCCAGGCATCATCAGTGTCATGATATCATTGCAGCTCATTGCATGTAATAGTTTCACTACAGTTGTAAAGTAAGAATAGTGATAGGACTGAGCTCCAGTTCCATGGAATTCCACCAGTCAGAATTTTCTGTAAAGAAAAACAAGATTTCTTCATTGAGCATATATGCTTCTGAAAAGTCATCTGGCCGTTTAGGTAATGTCCAGGGGCAATTCAGTGCCATAATATGATGAAGTAGTGTAACAGCAAAAAATAATCATGAGCATTTGATTTCTGAAAAGATTTCTTAGCTCCACCAGCACACTTTCCATGTAATGCAAATGTCTGTGAAGAAAGAAAAACAATTCTGCACACTGTAAATTATGCAGATTCAATATATGTATGATAATGGTCAGAACAATGTCGACTGTAAATGATTTAGGACTATGTCTAGAAAGGGTCTTAAGCCTATAACACTGAACATGCAGTTCCCAGCTTTTAGGCACCCATCTCCAGAGGATGGAATCCACACGCTGAGACCAAGGACCAAAGTGCCCTATACCTTAGGTAGGGAAAACTGACCACCTGCATTAGAATTCACAATACTCACCCTGGTGAGTACGAGGGTATACCTAAGCTAACTCATAGGAAATGCCAAAAAAGAAGCATGTCACAAATCTTTTTCCCAAAATGAGATGCCAGATAGGGCAGTGCCGGACAAAAATACGTAAGCTGGTTCTGAGAATATGAGATCCTGAACTGAATGTATAGTCACATTCACATGGCACTGTGCCAGATGTAATCAGTTCTGCTTTCCAGTTCACTGTTATAGTCAGGACCTAGCAAGTACAGAACTAGCTTGGGTGTCTGCCCAGTGCTGCCTGATGCTGTGTAGACATGCCCTGAGATTGATAGTGGAAAACTGCCATCTAGATATATACATGTAAATTGTTCCTTTAGTGGTAGGTAACTGACTGATTACCCTCTGTTAAAAGAAAAGAGGAAAAGGCAGACACCATTTTGCTTAGAAGCCTAATGGTTATAGGACTCATCCAGCAAGAAGACCGGTTTCTATGCCCCCGCAGTCTGAAGGGGTTCAAATCCGCATCTCTGGGTTCCTGCTCTCAATGCTTACTACATATTTTACACCAGAAATCTTTAAAGAGCAAGAAAAATGCAGTCACAGTGCAAAATGCATATGCAATCCCAGACCTCAGGGCTCCCTGTTTTTTCCAACAGCTGTTCGGCTTCTGCAGGGTGGGTAGAGGATATCCGCAACCCTGACTAGTAAATAGCCTGGAGGTTGGTTGGGACTGCCCTGGGAAGTAGGTGTTTGACCACTGTAGAGCCATATCTGACATCTGTCAGATCAGTATTACGCCAAAAGTGGTCACCACCACTGCTGGAGTTATTTAATGACAGTGGCTGTGGGTGATGAATTCAGGGATTTCAGTATATGCTAGGAATGCTCAGAGCATGCCTAGTGGATTGCAGAGGCATAGTGAGCTCCTGCATCCCCTTGGAAGTGCCGATTACTGCGAAGCTGGAGGCATGATGGGGGAGAAGAGCTGTACCTCTTACATGGGAGGGCATCTCTGCACCCTACAGTGTATGGGGCTTCAGCAAGGCAGAAACAGCTGAGGAGCAGACTCAACAGGGGGCACCAGAATGCACCCTCCCCTTCCCCCCCACAAGATTTTGTTAAGGTAGATGCAGACCTGCACTGCCCAGCCATAGAAACCTGCATCCCATAGTGTATGCAGGGAAGAGTTGAGCTGTATGGCACCCTTCCCTAGCACTTTTTGCCCTGGGAGGCACAGCTCCATGCCCAGTAGTGTACTGGAGAGGAGTGAATAGGACACTAGCCCTGGGTCAGGCCTGGATCAAGGGCAATGCAGCCAGTGAGTGGTGAACTTGTCCTCCAGCTGCAGTAGCCTCACTGCTGTCCACATACTACAGAGCATGGGGATGCCTGGTTTCTATGGCTGGGAGCCACTGGGCCATACCCACGGTAGCAAATACTCCTTGGGATACAATTTTGGTGCCCTTCTAGATCAAAGCCAAGGGCCTTGCCCTGCCATAATTATGCAATTGGTGAACTGAGCATTCATGGGGACCTAAATGTAAGCACACCTACTTTTGAGTCTTGAATGGTTTTAAACAGACTTTAGAGGACCAAACGTTCAGTTCAGCCATGCTTGGTGGCATTTCTGAGCATGCATAATTGCTGTGCTTTAAGTGCTCGGAAAATTTTGCCCACAAAACTTAAGTCCCCATAGTCTGGTAGGAACCCACATGGTTAGGAAGGGCTTTTTTGGATTGTTCATCTGTACCTAGGAAACTTAAGTGCCTATGCCTACAGTCCCATCCACATAGGCAGATTCCCACAGCCAGGCTGAGTTGCATTGATTTCACTTGGAGGATCAGAGTGTGCAATATTTACTGCAGCTATTATTATTGTTGTTATTTAAAATATTCCTGAGGGGCCATGGCTATGACATGATGGTCGACATGCTCATTGTGGGAACACTTGGAGCCTGGGACCCGAGCAACGAGAGCGTCCTGTGTCCTTGCCGTGTCTCCCGCTGCTACGCCGAACTGATGCGCTGCCTCATGGTGTCCAACACCATCCGCTGGTCCCGTGACATCTACGTGGAACACATCACGGGCCACCACCAGTACTCTGACCCCACCAGGTGGACCGCTGCTGGACCAGACCCAGAGGGGACCACCTGAACCCCTCTATGCACCTGATGGACTTCACTTCAAGAGCGTTCTTCAGCAATAGACCACCCCACTCCACCCGAAGAGGACCCCCACGATGAGACTCTATATGAACTGAGACATTTTCTTCGACCTACTTCCTCCACCACTGCAGCCCTTTGTATGGGTTTGTGTGCATCTATCTTCTTTCTCTCTCAGCGTCGTGAACCCCCTCCCACCTCTTCTCCCACCCCTGGGGCTTCGTTGGCTAACATTGTATTTTCTGTAACCTAGTTGCGTTCCCTCCTCACCCCCATCACTCTAATGTTAGTCCCTCGTTCGGGTAATTTGTATTTCCCTACTGGCTTTTGTCATCGTTTTGGATTCACAATCCTAAACATTTACTGTGGCTATTATTATTGTTGTTATATAAAATATTCTTTCCACTAGGAAGCACTAGAAAATAGAAATGAAGAGGAAAAGCTTTTCCAATCTGCGCAAAGGACAAAACGTTTTGTTTTGAAGACATTAAGTGAGCTGTGAATTTTAAAACTGATATTGACTATTGTTCTGATCAGTTAAAACAGTTAAAATAATGGTACTCAATCTTTTAGGCAGGCCAGTCTATGGGCTGGATCGGACCCTGAGCACCAGGATTGGGCTCTACCCTGCCTCCTCCCAGCTCTGCCCAGATGGAGCCTGCGCCATCCCTACTCAGCCCTGCACGCTGCTTGAATTGGACCTGTGCCACCAATGCTCAGACCAGGCCCTGGCCCACACTGCTTCAATTGGGATTGGGCTCATACTACCCCCACCTGGCCCAGAACATCCTGATTAGGTCCTGCACTGCCTCAACCTTGCTTTGCATGCTGGAATCAGGCCTCACGCTGCATCCACCCAGCCCTGCATGCCTGGATTGCGCCCATACCAGTCCCATCCAGCCCTGTGCACCTGGATCAGGCCCACACCACCCCCACATGGCTCTCACCTTGCTCATGCCGCTCCCACCCTGATCAAGAGTACACCATCCCTTGCCAGCTCTATGTGCCCAATGAGATCCCCTGCCTCACACACTGGTATCAGGCTCCACACCACCCTGCATGCCTGAATCGGCCCTACACTGTCCTGCATCCCTCATCTAGCATGCAGAGCTATGCTATCCAGGCTGTGGGTCTCCCCACAGCTCAGAAATTTGGCAGCAGGGGAGCAGTAATTAATGATGCCACCACGCCCCCACTGCCAAATATTTGAACCTGGAGGAAGCCCTCTGAGCCT